GGGGGAGGCTGGGGAGACCAGGGAGCGCTGCGGGGGGGATGGCTGGCTGGGGGAGCTAGGGAGCACTGCAGAGGGGGGGCTGGGGAGACCAGGCAGCACTGCAGGGGGGGGGCTGGCTGGGGAGACCAGGGAGCACTGTGGGGGGGGTTGGCTGGGGAGCGCTGCAGGGGGGGGCTGGGGAGAGCACTGTGCACTAGGCAGCGTGTTTAATTTATTGTGGGGCACGTTCACTTTTTAAAGCCTTTTGTAGCTCACTTTTGAACCCCGACTCACCTCCTCACTCCCGTGTCCCTTGTCACACGCTGGTTTTACTGTGATCAGCACTCGAAATGCTGCATTTCTACCTTGCACTTTGGCGGCCCAGCCGAGCGCTGCGGCCCCGTCCCTCATTCGCCGTGTGTCTGAGCGAGGAGAGAGACGCTCCTCGGCGGGTATTAAACCTGTTCCGTCTCTTTTATTTTTTCAATGTGATCCATGTCAACGTGTTTTTATCAGGAGATAAAGTCCCGAGATTCTGACAGGTGTGGGTCTGGTGGCTCCTTGGAGACTGGGATGGGATGGGCTGGGACAGGTGCTTTGGCAATTGCTGCCCCGCTGTGTGTGCTGGGGAGCGGTCCCCCATGGCCAACTCCTGGCCGAACTCAGAGCCTCAGCCAGTTCTTTCTCCAGCGGGGCTGGTCAGCGCTGCAAACGCAGCCATGTGGCCGGCGAGTCTTTCAGGGATCGATCCGTGGCAGGCTGCGGGGCTGGGGCTGTTTGAAGCTTGTGGGAACAAGATGTTTGGTCCAGGAAACTCCATCATTGCAGAGAGCGCCCAGGTTCTCCTGCACTGGCCGCTCGGCTAGGGTGCAGCGCCCCCGTGCCCCGCACACTGCCCCAGCCTTCAGCAGGCAGACTGGGCCGCATGCCGCCTGCGCCCCTGCCCAGGCCACGGTGTCTCCGGACTGAGTCGTGTTCTCGTCAGAGCTGAGAAGAAGCACTCTGGACCCAGGACCATTGACAGGAGGGAGGGCAGAGCACATGCCGTCCTGCCCACTCCCCGGCAGGAGCCAGTAGCAGCCAGGCCGGGGTTCATGCTGCCTGGGGGGGCTGAGCTCTCCTGGCTCCAGGGGCTTCGCTTCTGTCGGCGTGTGGGGGAGACAAGGCCCTGCACCCCCCTTCCTGCGCTGCACCAGGACTTCAGCCAGCCAATAAAGCAGAAGGTTTATTTAGACGACGGGAACACAGTCCAAAACAGGTCTTGCAGGTACAGACAACAGGACCCCCCCCCCAGTTAGGTCCATCTTGGGGGCCCCAGGGACACCACAGCCCCGTCTGGGCTCCCCTCCATTTCCCCAGCCAGCTCCAAAACTGCAACTCCCTCCAGCGTCTCACTCCGCCTCCCCCCGGCTCCTCCCCCAGCCTTTGTCCATTTCCCGGGCAAAGATGTCACCTGGCCGCCAACCCCCTCCTGGTTCTCCTGTTACATGCTCAGGTATCTGGCCTCAAGGAGTCTCCCATCCCCAGTGCAGACAGTCCCAGCCAAACTCCCCTGCAACCTTCCCCGGCCAACACTCCCCACTCGGCATTCAAAGGCCACATTCAGAACATTCCCAGTTCGTCACAGCTTCTTCCCTGGCCATTTTGCAGCCTGCCCGGCTCCGTGCTGCCCCACGGCTGCTCCAGTCGAGCCCTTCTGCTAACATTAAACATCACTCTCTGCTGTGGGGGCAGCTAAGGACCCCCCGCCGCCAGGGACCAGTGCCCCACGGTGCTTGGTGCTGCCAGTGCCGGAGGCGGGGGGGTTGCAGCTTAGAGAGGGGTTGGCAGGACTCAGGAGGTGCAATAATCATGCTCAGCCTCAGCAGCCCCCCATTGAGCCAAAATACCCTCAGCGGGACCCTCCCTCCAGCTCCAGAGCCGCTTGGAGGAAGAAAGCGAAGTGTCTGTGGGCTCGGGCTGGGGCCGTGTGCCAGGCCACACGGAAACCCCGTTCTGAGGCGCGTTCTCCCTGCGGGAATGGGGGAGCTCAGCCCCGTCCGCTCCGCTCCGCTAGCAAAAGGGCAGGAAACCCCGGCCTGAGCTTTGCTCCTCAGAGGCTGCAGCGCCGGCCCTCAGAGCCCGTCTCCCCGATGGCCGTGTCTGCCCGGGTCTCACTGCGGCGCCAGGAGATGGGCCCCCAGGCTCAGGCTGACCGAATCGCAGATCCCAAGTTGGGGGTGTGCTCGGTGCAGCCCGATCCTGCCAGGCCCAGGGCCCGGGGGGCAGCAGGGAGCGATTTAGAGCCTTAGGTGCTGATGAAAGCCAGCAGCAGGGCGGGCAGGGGAGGCCGTATCCACAGCCTGCTCTGGGTCTCCTGGCAGCGCCGCTCTGGAGCCCTGGCAGACGTGCAGGGCCGGTCAGGTGCTGAATGTCACTTCCAGGACTTGGGGGGCGCCAGGGGGACAGACGCCGCCATAGCACGAGCCTGGGAGGGGACGAGGTGGCCACAGCGGGTTAGGAAGGGAATGAATCTCCCACCCACCTCAGTAGTGCGGGGGCTGTGACCCACGATCCAGCATGCTCCCTACGGACCCCACTGCTGCAATCCAGGGCTTCATCCTCGAGTTGGGGGCTGGGCCACCCAGCGACACCCCCCCCCCCCCTCCCACACACCTGGGTTTTGTCCCCTTTAAAAACCCCCCCCCCCCCCCCCCCCCCCAGCATCCAGAGGTGAGATGCGTCCTCAAACAGCAACAGCAGGCACAGAGCCTGTCCTGCAGCTGCAGCAGGGACTGCTCTCTGCCTGCCCACTGCACCCGGATTCCCAGCCACCGTTGGGACCTTTGATTTTCCGCCCTGTCTCATTGCCCCCCGGGGGTCGGGCCCCACCGGTGTAGAAGGCGGGCTTGCAGAACTGCCAGCCAGCTGGCACTCCACTGCCCATGACCCACTGTGGACACACACAGACCATGGGAAGTCCCAGCCCAAGGGGCTCCCGCCCTATATAAACCCAAGGGGCCTTGCAGGCAGCGTCCAGGCAGCAGCGTGGCTCTCCCATAGCTGCCACTCATAGCCCTGCTCCTGAATGCCTGGCTTCGGCCTCCCCTCGGTTTGGACCTCGCCTCCTGACCCAGCCCCTGAAATCCGACTCGAACTCGGCCCCTTGATATCGACGCTGGCCGGGAACCTGCCTACAAAACTCCTCTGCTCCCCCAGCCTCAGGTGTGTCCCTGCTCTGACCCTTGGTCCCAGCTGCCCCGTCAGGATCCTGACGCCTGCTTCCTCCGATCAGTCAGTGCTCACGCCATCCGCCCGCTGTAGGATGCAGACCAGCCCCTCGGCAGTGGGCAATGGAAGAGAGCCAGTATTTCCCAGAATCCGTCACTGCTCCCCACATC